AATTTCAGCACCATATTCTCCTGTCATTCGTAGTTATCGACTCTAATGAGCGACGTGTAGTAGTTTCTGATGACTTTGTAATTCTGTCATGTAATATCACATAGGCTTAGCGAATGTTGCCTCCAGAATTCATCTCTTCTGTTGATCCATTTAAGTGTTCTGCTCCGGATCCACTTATTGGTCCGGCGCGATGCTCGTGATGGCACAACCTTCGATGCTGATTGCATGCCTCAGTTAACTTTGTCTTTCAGTTCATTCCATGCGTCATTCGCTGAGCTGTGCGTCTGTAGGTCCCAGTCAACGGTTGCTGCTAAGTTGTGCAGCTTAAAATAGTCTGTAATAGTTCGTTGAGTCGCTCTTTAGCAACAATACTGGCATAACACATAACCAAATGTTGGTATTGAATGGTCGCTATGGCCCAGTGGAGGATCGTATGCTACTGACTCAACCAGCACCTCTTCATTAGTCAGGATTAAGTTTGGGAGTGATGGCTTGTTTGAACCGCGGTGTCTGGTTGGTCGATGCACATAGTTATCCAAACCTGTCATATCCATGAATTCGATGAGTTTCGATTTAAATGATGGCCCATTAGGGGACATTGATGGTATTGAAGGAACATCAAAGTCACCCATTATAAGTTAGTGAGAGTACTATTGTGAAATAGCATAGCGGTGGTCGTTTAACAGAATGTTATCGTTGTCTGCTGATGAGTTCGGAGGCCTATAGATAACTGCTAAGAGGCAAACGTCGCTTGTCTTCTGTGAACCAACATCTCGACTTGCTAGGTGCAGTCAACAAAGTAGTGCCTCGGGAATAACAAGGGAATTTTCGGTAAGAGCCTCACATTCCAAATAATCTCGCTAGTAGAGAGCAACACCGCCACCGCGAGATGGACGATCATTTCGAATGACTGACATCTCACTGAATTCAATCTCTGGATCAAGTATGTGGTTTGAGAGCCGTTTCAGTAACTGCTAATGAATCAGTTGCCACCTGGATATGCTCTGCAAGTGGCACCTTGATGTAGAGATGAGTCTTAGTAGGAAAGTTCTACATCTAGGGATCGCGACGCACTTCTGTTGTTCTCGCCTGTAGAGTGAAACTAAGTACAAAATCGGTATTGGAGTGCAGTGTAGCAAGGGGGAAACGTCTAACATCTAGCACAGGAAGTGTCATCGCAGCCGCAAAGGCCGAGTATGCACAACCACTGGGACTCTGAACGTTCACTAGGAGCAGGTAGCGTAATACAAACACATGCTGCTACAAATGAAGGGGCAGTGTTGACTTCGGACGACAATCACATTGTGACCATTAAAAGTACTTGGCTACCATAATCGCTATCCAAGAGGGTCCACTGTGTGACGTCCATAATGGCTTGACAGCTTCAGCTGTCCAATGGAATTATGAATTGAACTCTAGTGGCAATCAGCGGCCATAATGAATGTGGCCATTCTCATTGGAAAACTGCATTTTTCATTACAGAAAACTTGGAACTTTTACTTCTAAAAAGGATCAGCAACATGATCCAGTTGCTTTAAGGCATAGCATTCGGTATCTCAGTTCCTCTAGATCTCAAATCGGTCAATAAATTGAAGTTTGTATAATTGAAAGTATCTGTGATTCCGCATTAGAGGTACCTCGCGATAATGCGTGGGAATTCCCATTTATGCCGCTTCAAAGCAGCTGAGGTCTGATGTGGGTTTGCATACTCCTCTCTCCCTCTGTCAGTCTAGCGGCGAATACAAGACAATCGGCTATTTCGGTTTCATCTGTTACATGCATCTATTGTTTGTACTAAGTTTCATGTTCTTGGCTTACGCGTCATTTTTATACCCTAAAGTGTGCGTCGCTGTGCGATTACTGGTCCAAATGCAGGCTGTTGCATTGCTTTCCACTAAGTATCGGCCTAACAGCACGATGATTATTTGAAAGATTGCTGATTAACATTTAGCAGATTTAGGCACAATAGCCGCAATTTAGCAACCCTTGTCTATGAATAAACCATCCATTTGACAGTGGTTGGATAAGAGATACAGCGACGATTGTGGATTAAGTTTATTTAGTACATACACCATCTGACCATCCACTTGGGCATTGGTTTTGGCGCATTCTGCCGTCTACATTAATTCGATAGACTCAGCATTTTACGTGTGACCTGTTCGCCTTGCAACCGGTGGCACGGATTACCAATATATGTGGCGGTGTCCAGTGGTTCGCAAATCTATCAATTTGCTAGACACGTACACACGGATTAGCAGCTGTCTTTGTGATGCATTCTGCTGCAAAGGCGGAGTGCATCCGTGTGCGTTGTGACTACAGGGCAGACGTGTTGATTAAGAGACGTCGTACGCCTGAATAACCGCAAAGTAATCTGGAGCAAAAGCGAAAAGATTCAGGCATGCCTCGCATTAAATTACCTTCACGAATCCGCACCAGACAGTTGGCAATGGTTGCGATGATTGCGGGTCGATACTTGTCACGCACACTGCTAGAAGGTTGCTGTCCAGCATGTGAATGGGGTGACAAACAGGATAAGCACACGCAAACGAATCAGGATTGTTGTATTCGGAAGCTTCGAATATGCTTAAAATTTGCCGAGAATCCTGAGTCCAGAAACTTATGAAAACAAGCAATGAACGTATTAGCTAGACTACGGTTCGCTTCTGATTCCCCATTTTCCTCGGCCTAAGTAAATTAGCATAGAAACCCAGTGGCCGTTTATGATTAACTGAGTAATGATGGAGATAACGGATAGTTAAGCGGTGAGTTCCTAGAGCTACGGGTCAAATTGTTGTTCAAATACCGGCGCTGGAGATGAGACAACATACGTAGCTCACTGTAGATCTGGAGCAAACAAAGCACGCATCGTCAACGCTGTGTTAATCTACAGTGCCTCACGAATGATAGTCCCACACTTCATCTTATTTGAGAAGCTGTCAACTTGGGCGACTATCTCACCAGTAATGTACCCTTAAGACAATGCTTTCAACCCACTTTAAAAATTGGATGTCATGCAATTCGATCACGTTCACCTCCATCACATACTTCTTCGAGTAGCATCCCGCGTTCAGGTTCCTTTCTTAATAGTGTGGACATGTAGCATGATCTCCTAGTCGCCGGATTCAAAACCCACCGGCGGTTTGACGCAGAAACAAGAGTGTACCTAATTTTATAAACACGGTTGCTCATGATATTTGTAGGAGAACACCCCCCCCCCAAATGTTTCTAAGTACGGTGCCACTTAGCTCACGTAAAAACCGTCCTTAGTTATTCTCAGTTAAACATCGTCGGTATCGTCTACGTAGTCTCTATGTTGTAGAGAATTGCTACTTTCCCTTGGATCTACGAGAAACATATTCTGAAGCCAGTATTTTGATCCTGTCTCTGGTTTCTTATACAAGTTTATAAACGAATCATGCACCCATGCCCATGAAAGCTGACTATACTTTATGACACTTTGAGTTTGGAAACTATGTTCAGAAAAGTAATGACAAGGCGATTATAGTATGGACATGTTACCGGTAACCTGAACTATGACACTGTACTATCTGTTCAAAGGATTTCGTTTGCTATAAGGTTGCTTCATTTCTGTGGATTAGACGATGAAGAAATGGCAATCTACTATTGTAGGACCTCTGCTCATGCATGAAGTTTAATTAGTTTAGTAGCTCCATGTCACCCTATTTTTATACTCACGAAGCTCTCATAAGCGCAGCTCTATAAAACTGTCAGTGAGCCACACGATTACATCATTTCAATCTTCTCGAGGGCTTCCAGGAACTTGCTCTGTGACAATGCTCACTCCTACGTGCATAAATTCGGATGGAAAATGTGTTAGGATAAGTAAAGAACACTGTTTTAAACAAACCAATCAAGTAAACGCAATCATTGTTTCTTATTCAAGCCGCTTGCAGGTAAGTAATTCACTGTTCAAGGGTATCAGTTGGTAATACAGTTAGTGAACGTCAGTGCAACTGCCCTTGGATTTAATTTTCAACTACCTATAAACTTCCCCTGATGCTTAATATCGTGATTAATCATGCATTTCTTTCATCCTGACGAAAGGTATCCTGCCCATAACCGTGGCACGAATGTCATCATATGTGCGCTTCAATGTTTAACAAATACCTAAGCGCGAAGTTAGTTGTCCATCATTTAGTAGCTGACAGCCCGCCTAAGCTCAAATTACTTGGATTTTAGCCCGATTGTCGGACGAGTTAAAGGGACCGAATTATAGCATTCAAACTGAACGAACTTGGAAGATGGGTTATCCAGTGCTTAGAAAGGACGCACCTGGGTTTAGGTGTATTTATTAAAAACAATCTAATTACTAGAAAACCAGCAACCACATCACACTAAGTGCATGAAAGCGTCGATAGAGCTATTTTCTTGGCTGTAGACATGTGCGACTTTCCCTCGCTGCACAATATATACAACGCGACAACGGTTTTGCTTACAGGTGCTGTCCAAAAATTCATCAATTAAGTCTTTGTACCCGGCAGCAGAACATGGGTGGGGGTATTCAGACACTTTGCTCATCCAGATAAGAGTGAGGACACCCGCATCTAAGAGATGAACAACTTGGCATAAACTGGGGAGTAGATGGTTAGCAATGGTGGTCGATCAAGTACGCGACAGCCCGGGTGGGTGAAACGGATATCCAGTTAAGATCCACGCGCCCACTTTTATGCTATGCGATGGCCGTAATCGCGCTTGCCTTAAAACATGAAGGATACTGGTGTATAACATTCGCACCCTATTAACACGGTGTGAAGTCAAGTACGTATGCACAAGTGAGCACGGGAACCAAGGTTCGGCACAGCATGACAAAGCAACTGGAAGGTAATTAAGTATATAACTTGAATCGACATGGAGTGCGATGCGTGTTACCATCTGTTAGATGAGTAGGGCGTTTGTCGTAACAACAAAGTCAATTTTCGATAAACAATATTAGTTTTCCTGGTCAATTTTTTTAACGGAAAGTATTTTTTGTGTCTCAGGTCTTGGCCACTGATATGTCCAAACATATGAGCTTGTTAGCGGACTTGAAGACGATGGTTGAGACGAAAAGAGTCGCTGGCTCCGGAATACTCACCCTGGATAACTACAGTGACAGAATGCAGGTAAGTGCATAGGATTGAGGTGATAATTTGTACGATTGAATGAACGGAGCATATCGCTAGTAGCGGAGCTCACTGAGCTCGGGTAAAAAAGCGGGGTTGACAAGTCCCTCGGGATGATTGGAGTAAAATGTGTGGAACAAAAGATATGATAATCGTCAGTTTAAGCGTCTCCCGATGCGCTGCTGTGTAAGGATGGTGTGAAACGATAACTGAATGTAAACACACAAAATACTATGGAGAACAGTTACAGTTGATGCACAGAAAGTTAAATATAAATAAATACCCAATCATGTGCCGTTTTCTTAGGTTCACGTGATAAGCAAACTGAATAGGAGGACATAATAAAGATATTACACAGTATCAGTGTAGAAATTTAAACTGAGCACATTGATTGGTTGTGTTACTGAATACTGGATTATAGAGCAAGCAGAAATGAATTCTGTAAGACTCTTTCGAAATATGGTGAAAAATGTTATAAAAGTTTCCAACCGTGAACATCGTTGTCGTTCTCATGTAAAATTTAAAATATCTGACTTATGATATTTCAGGACTCACAAATGTGATATGTCATCGAAAGTGTGCAATCGTTCTCTGAATCGAATAGTGGTAAAATATAAATCTAACAACGTTTTGAACTGTTGCACAGATGTTGCCTCAATCACATGTTCAAGTAAACTGTTCCAAATGTTTACCACTCTCCGTTCGAAGCACAGTGGGTGGGGAACACATTTCACATCCGGCACGGCAAGTGTGAATCTGTGTCCGCGTGTGCTGCATGACCCTCGTAAATGCAGCATTGGCCTTAGCATTGGGAAGTCACCGAGATGTAGAATATGGTAGGTCATAATGAGGTCGACTCGCACCCGACGGCAGGACAAGGTGTAGAGTCCTAGTTTCTCGCACTGGTCTTCATACCCCAAGCCACGTAAACTCGGGATGAGCCTGGTAGCAACGTGTTGGACCCGTTCGATCTTTTGTGCCTCGCCTCGGGTAATCGGGAAGTAGGCGGGCGAACCGTACTCTAGCACTGGTCTAATGATGGAAGAGAAGAGGCGAGTGGCAACCTCTTCAGACCATGTGCCGAAGCAACGTTTGAGCGCCCAAAGCATGCGCAGTCCGTTACGATATAGCTTGTTCGTGTTGTCCACGGACGTCAAATCGTAGCATGAGAGTACCCCTAGGTCCTTCACGGAGGGTGTGGGATATAGCGGTTGGTCGTCAAGGGTGTAGGTTCGGCCGTCAGAACCCTTCCACAGGCTAATGAATACAGACTTGGCTGGGTTGATCGGGAGATGAACTTCTGCAGATCATAAAAGACTACATAGCTCTACGTAAATGTATGAGACATTTTGTATACTAGTATTGTGGGGGAAGAAATAACTTAGTGGGGAGGACGTTCCAAGATTGGCACACACACACAAAATGAAATTTTTTTAGCATTTCAGCCGGTTATAATGTGGCCAGCATTGGCTAGTGAGCTCTTATAGTGATATTGTGACTCAGTTTCAGAAGGTAACAACAAGCTTGGCTGGGATTCCCCAGGATCTCCCCAAATAACCACACTGGCGTTGACAGTGTCCACTGTAGACCAAAGGGTATTCAGCCTAAGATGGTTGGGGAGATGAAAAAGACACTTCACACCCTCGGTCGCCTTTCCTTGTGGCAAATCAAGTGCGACAATGTCGTGCTTGTACAAGGGCTGCCAGGCGTGAATAGGGTGGATTGCCTAATATATGCTTTCGCCATCTGATAGAAGACAAATCGCTCGGATGACCTTCAAAATAGGTCACGGTTTTGGTGCATTCTCGATTTGACAAGAACATCCAAGATAGTCTTGTATCATCACTCCTAAGCCGCATTCAGTAAAAGCAAGTTGCAACACTTGATCCCCCATCCTATACTGACAAGTGGATTGACCACGCATGCTCTATGTCTCACCTTTGATGAGGTTGAAATGTAGCAGATTCTGAGTCGCTTAACCGTCATCCGTAGAACTCTGGTAAGCACTATCGATGCTTCGCTGTCGCGTGTGGACTAAGGATACTGCGAGGGTCACCCGGTCCCCTATGCAGGCTCAAACCCGCGACCTTAGGAGTACAAAGCACACTTGATCCTTGATCCAGGCCGCCCTTAATCCTATCAAGATCATTTTGTTGTTTTGACGGTCCGATATATTTTGAGATATTCAGCGAAGAGTGAGAAATTTGTAGTGATAACTCTTGCGAGATGATTAATGCAAAACAAGAATAGGCGTGGAACAAATGCGGAGGCCTGTAGCAGCCCGCCATGAAGTTCGATGGGTCAGAGATCGCGCTACGAGCTCTCACATTCAGATGTAGTTGAAGTAGGAAATTGCTCATCCAACCGACGACCGGATCAACAATTCTACAGTTCTGAAGCTTGTGAATGAGGATACCGTGGTTCAGATGATAGAACACCTATGAGAATTCCAAATAAACTGAGTCAGCTCCAAGGTGGTACACAGTTTCAGTCCAACTAGAAAGAGCAAATAGCAGTTTTGTGATACAAGCTCGGTTCTGGCGGTATCCAAATTGTTTTTGTACTAAGACTATGCGCCTTTCCAAACACGACATGAGTACTTCGGCTATAACATCCTCCACAACTGAAAAGCGTCGGTAGGAGATTTATCGAGAGACCGTTGGCTGGATCTGAAAGACTTTCGCCTTGGGAATGGGAGTGATGACTCCGTGCTTTAGTATTGCTGGGAAGCAACATCTCATCAAGACAAAGTCGGAAGAACTGAGAGGACGGTACGACCAAGTTCAGCGCCTCTGGAAGGATATTATGACCACCAAAAGAGGTATGCTTGGGCGAAGAGATTAAGTTCTTCAAAATATCTGCGGCCGTAAAAGAGATATGCTAGTTCTGGTGGTAGCATAAGTTGCGTGAACACCACAAAGGACGAAGTTGTGCTCTGGAAGAGAACGGCTGTCGATGAGCGTTGATCTCTCCTGTTGCAGTTAGTGCTTGTCCACATGGTGTAGGGCAGAAATAACCCGATGAACTCCATGGAGCTTGTAAGAGAGCTCAGGGTTTGAACAGAACTTCTCGGCTAGCTACTGTTGATGCTTTAGTTTATCAGTACGCACCAAGTACACGTAATGATTCCGTTAGGCAGTGTAGGATTCCCATGCTTCAGCACTCGGTTACTCTAATTTTGCTACAATAAACCTAATGATCCTACAGTTCTGCGTCCTGCTCCGTACGAAAGGGTTTACTCTAATCACATGTGGGAGTCTGTACCACGAAGTAGTCATTTCTGACTTGTTGAACTGACTGACAAAATTCCGCCAGGCGACATTGGGAGATAGTTCGGCTAGAAATGACCAGTTAGTAGAATTTATGAGTGCTGTAGAAATGCCGAATCTGTAATGTGGTGAGAACCGTCGGTTTTTCTGCGGAATAATCCGCACAAAGGAAATAGTTGAACAATATGCAGTTTGCTTTTGCCCACATAGGTTCAGAGAAGAGATGCCTCGCTGCACTTTTGAACGTTTATTAACATGCTTGTAAGGTAGCATAGGATTGCTGCGGGACTTTTTCGCTAAATCCTGCTAGTATTACATCTTATCTTCGCGGATCGCTCCAACACAGTAGTTTCGCATTCTAATTTCGGCGTTTGGATGGGATTTGTATAATTACCAAAGTGAATCTCTCAGGGCCATACGTTTCCGCCTCCTGCTCCTCAAAAGAGACCTAAGCATCTTAGTCTCGATGCGTTTGTTACTGAATTGTTGAACTGATTGACGAACTTCCCCCAAGCGACATGTGGGGATTATTTTGCTGGAAAAAATCAATCAGTGATGAGATCGGACAGGAAAGGTGTGCTACTACAGGGACCTCTTCTATGTTTATGTCGAACAGTTCTACGTAACAGACGTAGAGGAAAGGCAGTGTCGCATGATCACTGCGCCCCAAGGGGCTACTCCCAGTTACTGTGTCCATCAGCATTGGTAAAGCCGATGTCCACAATGGCGGGTTTGTTCCCCGTTCTAAATCTCGTAGGGAAGATAGCGTGATTATGAAGTGGTAGGAAGGAGTCTAGTTCTAGCATTTCGGCCTTAGACTGCTCACCAAGGGAGGCCGAAACCTCTTGAGCGTGTGTCACAAGGTCAGGCCCTAGCCCACTCAGTTAGATGAACAACACACTAAAGCATGCACGCACACACCATGCTTATCGTGTTTCACTGAATGCATGCCGGATATTCTGTCAGTTATTAATTACCAGTGTCCTGTCCAGACTTATTCTCGATACCGTGGGTTCTGAGCCCCATAGAGCATACGCTCTCGTACATTTACTTACTGTGACTAATACATATCAGCGTGCAAGTTGAACTCTCCCACAAGGAAAACGTCAGTGTTGCGCTGAACCAAAATGGATTTCAGTGCAGAAGGCAGACGGTTGTCTTTTTATAGAGTGAACATGGGACGACGATATATGAGGGCAAGTAAACATTTGTCGCTACGTCCTAGTTGCAAGCAGCACTAAAGTGAGTTCACAACTCGAATCTCTGGGTTGTCAACAACGAATTAGGTCACTGCGATGGATGAAATTACTCCAGCTCCCCTATTAGATTAATCATTACGTAGGACGGACACGACTGATATAGCGATCCCCGCCTCCGTGATTTCATTTTCCAGCAGGATTTCAATTATCATTAAGAGGTCCATAGATATCAGAGCTTGACGAGAATGAAGCTCGGATAATTTATTGAAGAGGCTCTTAGCATTGGAGTACATACAGGAGTGTTTCTACCGTCAGAAGTGTATCTGAGTGTACGAGTACCAGGAGTGAGCCTGGAAGCTAGCGGTCATTTTTGATAAACTGCTGACAATGAAACGAGCAGCTTCATAGTGGCTGGTAGAATGATCACAGGATTAAGTTCCGGTATTATTAAGTATTGGAAAAGTCCCTGCCCCTTCAACAGTTGGTTGTGCTCCGCAGTGGTCCGATTCAAAAGTGACTTACTGAAATCACT